GCCCACAGAGGCCAGCAAAGGAGTTGGAAGTCCTGGGACCGGAGTTGCAGATGGCTGTGAGCTGTCCTGTGGGAGCTAGGGATCAAGCTCAGGTCCTCTGGAAGCTCAGCCAGTGCTCTTAACTGCTGAGTCGTCTCTATAGCCCCCTTTCCTCATTTTATCCATTCTGGGCCCCACTATGCTCACCCATGAGGTCCACAGGCACACCTACCCAGATACACCCTCATGGACCCAACTCCCAGTGAGCTAATGATTGGCCCTCACAGGACACAGTGTGCATCAACGCAGGAGAGGGGTCTCCAGCAGAAGCAGTAACACGAGAGTTCTTCAACAGGTGTTTTCCAAATGTTTACAGGGCTAGAGGGATACAGACCTCCAACAGAGGCGCATTCTCAAGAGAGAAACGCTACGGTGGACCATGATGACAACCAACCAGAAAGGAAATCTAAAAGATGCTGGGGACTTGACTGAGGGCAAAGTCCACTCTGGGCAGCCCCTGCAGATAGATGATCCTGAGCAGAGCTTCAGGGCACTGGCTTGAATGACCCTGCCCAGGCCGCCAAAGCCAGCAGCTTCAACAGAATCTTTCCTCACCCAAGGCTGTCATCATATAGGAGGTAGAGCAGGGAACTTACAGGTGCCCTAGAATGTGCAACCAAGTCACCTCCCCCGAGTCGGCCTGCCTGACCCTTGGTACTGCCCAGCAGACACAGCAGCAGCTTCCCACTGCACCACCCAAGCCTCAGAAGTAGACATCCTCCAGATAACTTCATGACTTCCCAGCCTGCGACCTTTGCAAGCCTTCTCCACTAAGGAGTCTAGGACACAAAGAAGTGTTCTAGAGACAGCATTGGTCTACCTTCTGCCCTGTTCCGGGCTCCTCAGCAGACTAGCTTCATCACAGCTGACGTGGGCTAGCCTCTCCCTACTTCTAGTGCTAGCCATGTACTGCTTCCTGATTACCCCAGGGCTGTGCACACATGCAGCTTCCCCAGGAGAGAGCGTCTCAGCTTCGAACATTAATTAATGCTGTAACTCTGTGACCCCACATGACCAACTCTGTGACCTACATGATCAAGAGCTGCCTCAACTAGTTCAGTACCCTTGTGATGATTGCCTAGGATGGCTTACAAGGTGCCACTGACATCCATCAGCACCTCCACCCGAAACAGGGCCTGTTGAGTAACCAGAACAGCTGCGTAGTGACTGGGCAGGAGGGCAGGTACAACGCCTGGTCCAGTGCCCTCAGGTGCCAGTGGGCGATGGCTCAGAACTTCTACCACTGCCTTTACAGCAGTCCAGGCTGGTTCCTGCACCTGACCTGTGCGACAAGGTCTCTCAGTGTGGAGCTCCATCCAGGTCACTGGCCAGCTGAGGGGTCCCAAGCCCTTCTGTAAGGGTTCCGCAGCCTCCCAGTTCTGAGCAGCATTGGTTACCACAGGCATCTCCTTCAAATTTGGCTGCTTAGAAGTGACACCTTCTGTACCAGGTTGGTAGAGATGTAGCTTCCTGTCTCCCATGGTCTACAACCTCCTCATAATGCAATCCTTGACCCACTGGGATCCCAGCATAGAACAGTGGGGCCAGAAGCCAAACTAGTGCAGAGCCCCAATGCCCTGCGGGTCTCCTCAGCCACCAATGTCAGCAGGACTCAGCCTTCTTCCTGTGCTCACAGCTCCCCTGATGTGTGTGTGTGTGTGTGTGTGTGTGTGTGCACCTGAAGCAAAGTCTCCAAAATCAAAGCTCCAGTCATGATGGCCATGGTAGTAGTTGTACATTCAAAAACCCAGAATAATTATGTCCACAGACTAACACTACCCTAAAGATACCAGTAGCCATGTTCTAATCCTTGAAACTTGCCAGAATGTCATATTACATGGGCAAGAAGATCAGGGGTCACAGCGAAATTATCTTTATAATGAACTGCTCTGAATTATTTAAGTAGTATTAATGTTACCTAGAGTCACAGAAAGTGGAGTAGAGGCTGGAGAGGTGGGTCAGCTCTTAAGAGCATGTGCTGCTTTTGCAGAGGACCTGGTTTCGGTGGCTTCACAGCCATCTGTAAGTCTGGCTCTAGGGAATCCAGTGCCCTTTTCTGGCCTCCATGGGTATCAAGCATGCCTGCGCTGCACAGACATACACGCAGGCAAACCACCATATATATCAGAAAAACCGTAAGAGTGAAGTGGGGAGCCAGAGAAGAGGTAGCGGGGTAGCCATGGAATGTGAGATTGGCCTATTTGTAGGCCACCCCTGGCTTTGGAGAGGAAAGAGGGGCTGAGGCAAAGGCTGTCGGGGGGCGGCCGCACAATGCTATAGCGCAAGGATGAGCTCATTCAGCACATTCTGTTTCTAGAGTCTCCAGGAGGCAGCATCACCTTTCTGACGCCTCGGTGATGCAGTATGGGGCCTGTGTCTACAGACTCCATAGGCACCAGTTTTATCATATGAAGGTAAGCAGCCTGTGGTATTATATCAATAGTAGGAAACTGATAGACATCCTAGCAACAGACTATGAAAGTAGCATCATCACAGTCATCTCAATAGATGCAGAAAAAGCATTTGATGAAATTCAACATGTACTCATAATAAAAAAACAACCAAAAAACCTCTCCATAGTAGCCCGTGGGGGAACATGGAGACTTGGGATCCCAGCTGCTTAGGAAGCAGAGGCCTTCCCGGCTACAGAGAGTTCAGCCAAGGTCCACCAGAGTAACTTAGTGAGACCCTGCCTCCAAACTGTGAAAGGGCTGGGGTTGTAGCTCAGTGGTAGACTGTTTGCATAGCAAGGTCCTTGGAAAAGAGCCTAGATTTGGTCTCCAGTACTGGAAAATTAAGCATGGATGCCCTCTTGTAGAGTGGGTCTCAGATCCGACCAGGGAGCATGGCTACCCCCAAAATGGTGGTGCCACCATTTCACAGTGGGCCCATCTGTGCCCCCTGTACCGGGTGGCCTGCATAGCGGCCCCTGGCTCTTAGGAGCAAGCCGGCAGGGAGGAAGCAGTGGGGTCAGTTCCAGTTGGATTTCTTTATAGCTTGAATTCTGATGAGTGCCTAGAGAAATGGCAAGAGTTGAAAAATTTTGGGGACCTCTAGTGGGCTTCCTTGATCGATACCTTACCTGGCATTAGGCTTCTGTCAGTGACTCGTTGCCTCCAGGGTTGGCATTGTCTAGTGTTGAAGGGTGATCTACCTTCAAAATCTTATTTTTTTTTAAATTGGGTTAATGGCCAGTAAGTGCGCTGGCTAATTGTATGTCAACTGGACACAAGTTAAGAGTATCTGAGGGAAGGGAAGCTCAGTTGAGAAAATGAGAGCAGGCAAGCCTGCCGGAATGGATCCAGGTACCATGGGGTGCTCCCTTGTGGGGTGCTCCCTTTCTGGGTTGGAAAGAATGTAAGTGCTGGAAGACAGAGAAAGGCCCTGTGAAATGTCTTCTAAACACAGCACGACTGTGCCAATCAGCAGCTCACAGCATGCTGGGAGCCTTTAGAACAGAGAGAGGTTGGGGGGCCAGAAATAGCTGTGTAGGTTGGTCCCCTAATGTCCTTGGGTGTCTGTGCCACCATATCTCCTACAGGCCACACCCCCTTCTGTTTCAGCCATTTAAAAATTAAGGCCGGAAGTTTAAAGCAACCAATTGAAACTGCATGTAAACATACATGGGGAACAAAGAAGCTGAAATGTACAGAAGCCTTAACCCCAGAGCATTTGGGGCGCTAACCTTTGGAAGTGAACCTTCTAGAAGCCTAGGTGCCAGCACAATAAACTATCACCTGGAAGCTAAAGCCTCAGTATCCCGTCCTCTGCCCGAATGTCCCTGACAACAGCAGCTGTGCTCGTGCATGTTACCCCCAGCTGCTGTGGGCAGGGCAGGGGCTCAGGGCCCCACTATGCAGAACTCATCTTTTGGTAATATACTCTAGGAAAGAAGAGGGGCACAGCACCTGGTCCTGTAACCACTGGGGAGTGTGTCAGGCTTTGATGGCCCTAGACAAATTCTAGAGTACACTAGACAAAACTAGAGATTTGTAAGGAAGCGGGGATGACAAGGCAGAAGAGGGGCCAAGTAACCAGAATATATTATGTATATATAAAATAAATTTTCATATATATATATATATGAAGAAATTGCATATATATATATATAAGCATATATGAAAATCACCAGAGGAAAAATTATTAAAGAACTCAAAAGAACGTTGTTAACCCAATGAAGGGTACTTCAGAAGAAACTATAGTTAATACTATATTTTTTGTTAGCACCATATTTAATGAAAAACTTGTTTAATTCAGCATTGAGCAGGGGTGAATCAACACGTGAGGAAGAGCGGCGGAGTTAAAGGTGAGCCATATCTTCACAGGTGTTCACTGGTCAAAGGAAAATTCTAGCCAGTACAGAAGACTCTGATGGGATCAGAGCGACTGAGACCATGAGTCTCACGTGACATTTGACACCAGCTCTAGAAGTCCTACTTGGGGTTTTGGGCTTTTTAGACAGGGGCTCATTGGAACTCACTCTGTAGACCAGGCTAGCCTGAAACTCAGGTCTACCTCTGCTTCCCAAGTGCTGGGATTAAAGGCAGGAGACCACCATGCCCAGCTTTACAATTCCTTCTTAAAAACGCCAGTTTTAGCCAGTGTTTGACACCCTCTGTTTCAGTGGGAGCAGCTACGTCTTCTGCCTGTGGTCTGTTTCTGAATGCTTGCTTCTGGCTCTTCCCTTCCAGCTTCCCTTTCTCTGGCTCTCTTTTTTTCTTTGTCAGTACATCTACCCACCACTGCTCCAAAGCACTGCTTCTGAGGTGACAGTCCTGTGTTAGGGGATGGAGAGGCAGCGCAGAAGAGCATTGTGGGACAGGAAGACTAGCTCACGGTGCTGTTTCTATTCATGTCTTAAAAAAATAAACTGTTGGGGGCAGGGCAGGGGGAAAACACCCAGCTTGGAAAAGAAAAAAACGTGTCAGTTGTGGGTTTTGATGTCACTGCTTCCTGTGTAGCTAAAGGTAATAGAGACAGTCTGACAGCGATGATGCTGGCTTCTGGTGGATGCTCTTCCCCACGAAGTAAGCCAGCTTGTGTGCGTAGTGGCATGGAGCAGGGACTCGGATGATACCCTTCGGGAGGAAGGAAACAAAAGACTTTGGCTAAACCTTTCATCAACTCAAACAATGCAGGGGCTTTCTCCAAGTTTACATTTTCATAGATGGTTCAAAATTGCCGTTTTTAAAAACAAATGAATACTAATTTTGAAACACATGCACAGGGCTTACCGGCAGATTGTAGTACATGTGGCAGAGTCTGTAGGTCAAGCATTGAACCTGGTTGGGAGTCAGGCCGTTCGTGTCATAGATGACATTATAATGAGTGGGGGTGACGGTGCCACTGTTGGAAGTCTGACTCACAATATAGAAGTCATACCTGAGAGAGCAGAGGGCACAGACAGACATCAGCTCACTTTAGAAGTAAAGGAAAAGTTTGAATCGGAAGCTAAAGCGTTCAGCTTCTAAACTATGGGAGTCCACTTATGCCTTTAAGCTTAGAAATCCGTGTATCTGGTGAAACACAATTTGATGAAGAAAATTCATGAAGAGGAATGGGCAAGCTGCTGTTGACACAGTAATGCCCATGGGGTTACAGCTGATAAGAAAATGCCTTGGGGGGCTGGAGAGATGGCTCAGCGGTTAAGAGCATTGCCTGCTCTTCCAAAGGTCCTGAGTTCAATTCCCGGCAACCACATGGTGGCTCACAACCATCTGTAATAAGGTCTGGTGCCCTCTTCTGGCCTGCAGGCATACATGTAGAAAGAATATTGTATACATAATAAATAAATAAATATTAAAAAAAAAAAAGAAAATGCCTTGGGGTTAGGGACTGAGTGCAGGCCCACAGCACACACACTGGAAGAACACAAAACAAAAGCTGGGCATGCGTCAGAGGACATGTCTGAACCCGAGCACTGAGGAGATGGAGACAGGAGGATCCCTGGGGCTTTCTGGCCAGCCAAGTGCACTGAGAGACCCTGTGGCCAACAGTCAAGATGGAGAAAAATTCCCCACCAAATTAGTGTTCGGGCAAGCCAGTAAGCAGCACTCCGTGATCTCGGCATCTGCTCCTGCCCCCAGAGAGACACATACAGATACAGACACGACACACACCACCTGCTGATGCCTCAAAGCCAGCACATTTTCAAATGGGATGAAACACATCTCACCTATAATTTGATGTGGATGTGGAGACCAAGATTCTCACCGTTCCCTAAGATTATTCAGAATGTGCTCAAACTCCAAATGGCAGACACAGAGCTGCTACGGAGAGTCATGCTCTCCAACCACACGGATCCCGGGACCAAACTCATCAGGCTTGGTGACTAAGTGACTTTACCCATGGAACCATCTCATCTGACTGGCCCTCCATATCACATTTATCCATGATTTCAAACTGTCCATACATGCACAACTGTTGCTTCTAGATTAATAATTAAAATGGCTTGAGGGTCACATAAAAACTAACCACTATTTGGTAATAGACACAAAAATTGGATTAAAAAACTCAAGTGACCCCAAGACCAAACATGATTTCTCAAAGAATCCCCCAGTAAAGACTGCTTAAGCTGGAGTCATCAGGAGGGCACCTCAACTGAGAAAATGCCTCCATAAGATTGGGCTGTAGGCAAGCCTGTAGGGCTATTTCTTAATTGGTGATTGATGGGGAGGGCCTAGCCCATTGTGGTAGGTGCCACCCCTGGGCTGGTGGTCCTGGGTTCTATAAGAAAATAGCTTGAGCGAGCCAAGAGGAAGCAGTAAGCAGTTTCCCCTCCATGGCCTCTGCATCAGCTGCTGCCTCCAGGTTCCTGCCCTTCCTGTCCTGACTTCCTTTGGTGATGGAACAGCAACGTGGAAATGTAAACCAAATAAACCCTTTCCTCCCCAGCTTGCTTTTTGGTCATGGTGTTTTGTCAGAGCAATAGTAACACTGCTAGTTCAGATACATCAGAAATCAGCGGGGGTAGGGGAGAGCAAGGGGCAGGGAGTGGAGGAGCAGGGGGCAAAGTAAGAGCAGCTACTAAGTGAAGAATTGAATGAGTCTGCTGAAGTCAGTGCAGAGCTGGCTTACCACTCTTTCCTGGTCACTACTTGGTCAACAACAGTCCCTGAAGGCGGATTTGTAACTTTATCTCCATTTTCAACAAAAAACCTGGTGTTGATCCGTTTCTTCACCACGATGAATGTTAGCTTGATGCTTTAAAAAAGAGGACAAGGGTCATTCTGTGGGGAACATCATAGTTGAGGCCAAATCAGAGGGAGCTCAAGGCTGTGGGATCCCCTCCCCCACACAGTGGGGCTCCCACTCAGGCAGCAGCATCCACTCACAGTCCCCCACAGAGGGGAAAGGTTCCTTCCACACAACCTCAGGGGCATTTTGCAGCTGTCCTGGGCAACAGACCTCTCGGATGAGGACAGAGAACACAGCAGGGCAGGCTGTCTAGATCAGAGCAGGGAAATGCCTATGCATAGACAGCTATAATTGGAACAGAAACCAGCATGGTAGTGCAGGCCCGGGGTCCTACCCACTAGGGGGACCAAGGCAGGAGGATCTAAAGTTTGAGTATGAGGCTCTTGTGCCCAGTACTGCAAGATGAAGAGGAGGGAAGAAGGGAGGAAGGAGGGAAGGGAGAGAGAAGGAAGGATAGAGAGGAAGAAGGAGAGGGAAGAAGAGGAGAGGGAGGAAGGAGGAGGAGAGAAAGGAGGAAATAGAGGAGAAAATGGAGGAGGAGAGGGAGGAGGAGAGGAAGAAAGGTGAAAAAGGAAAAAGAATGAGAAGGAAAGAGGGTGGTGATGAAGGAGGAGACAATGACAGAGATGACCACAACATGAAAGGCAATAAGAGGGAAAATCTATGGAGGGACAAACAATCTTCTGGCTCCATGAAAAAAGCCAAAAAGCACGAGGGGCATTTGTTTTCTGCACTAAACCCACATTGTACCAAGTTCCTTTCACTGTGTTGGTTGCAGAACAGATTTTCCTCCAAATCCAAAGTATTCCCCATCTACTCACGGGGTTCATACCCACCTAGAGGTGAAGAACTTCTGGAACTGCCGAACCTCCTTTTCCAGCAGGGCCTGTAGCTGGCCATCCCCTACTCCATCCCGATATACCACCACGCTCTGGGGTTTCTGCTTTTCGTTTGCAACCCAGGAATTCAGGGCAGCTGAATGGGAGTGGGAGAAGGTACGTGAACACACTGCAACCAGGAGGGCCAACTTCTGTTACTCTAACACCTTCTAGATTGATCTTCTAAGAGCCTTAGCTTCCTGAAGTTTCACTATCTACAACCTCAGGATAGCCCAAGGTTTCTTAACATTTATCTCCCTGAAGTCCCGAGATAGACAAGTATAAGGCAGGGAGACTCTGCCCGGTGGGCTGATGGCCAGTGTCACTGGCCTGAGTCCACTGTAGTCACTGCTAGGTGGACAGACATCCCTGACCCCATTTTTACCCTATCATCTCCCCACAAATGATACACACAGGCTAGAGAGACAGCTCAGTCAGTAATGATATGAGTTTGGTCCCCATAACCCATATAAAACTGTCAGACATGATGGGGTGTGTTTGTAAATCCTAGAGCTGGGCAGGTGGAGAAGGACAGAGCCCTGGAGCTCCCTGGCCAGCCAGCCTACCCTAACCATGAGCTCCAGGTCAGTAACCGACCGTCCCCCAAAAGCCAAGTAGATGGTGCCTAAAGAATGACAGCCAAGATTGTCTTCTGGCCTTCATTGTATATATGCATGCCTTTGCATGCATGCCTTCATATGCACATGCGTGCACTCGCATGGAAATATTTTCAATCATAACCAGTGACCTGTGGGGACAGCATGCCCAATTGTCGAGAATGCCGGCAGGGAGTTAGGTTCACCAGCCTCCTCAGGCACTAACCTTGCAGACAGCTCTGCAGGTCATTGACAATCTCCTCTGCTGTATCCTGAAAGAGACACTGGGAGTGCCACCTGTTTACAGAGAAGTTGACCAATCAGAAACCTTATTTTGCCACTTGGATTCTGAATTAATTCACAACCACCTCTTCCCCAGTCAATATCACCATCAGAAACAAGATTCAGTGAAGGATTTTGTATGCTGTCTGGCCATTTGGTGGGCGGGAGTTGAACACACACATAGCTTGAAAACATTAACTGTGCCATAGGACAAAGCAGCTTGTCTCTCAATACCCACAGCCGCTGTGACAACTTCCGTAGCCATCAAGTCATCCATGGCTTTGCTTCTATTCCCTTCCTGGGAGTAAACACATCTGGCCCTGGGGTGTCACACGATAGATTTGTTTCTTATCAGTCACTTGATGAGTAACTAGTTCCTCAGGACAGAATCGACATTTCTGGTTTGACGTTTTTACTGCCATATTCCCTAAATCTGGACATAGGACAAGCTCAGAAACACCCATTCTGGGGCTGATGAGATGAGTATAGTTGGTCAAGTGCTTGCCATGAAAGGGCAAGGAACTGAGTTCAGGTCCCTAGTACCCACATAAGAAGCCAGGCATGATAAAACCTGCTTATAATCCAAGTGCTGGGGCAGTGGAGACAGGATGGTTCCTGGAGTTCACTGACCAGCCAACCTAGTCAATGAGCTCCAGGTTTAATGAGAGACACTGCTTCAAAAATAACATGAAGAGTAATGGAAGAAGACTGTCAACATCCAACCTCGACATTCATGAGTATGCATACACACATATATATGAACACATCCACTAAACACATCAACAACTACTCCCCCCCGCCCATAGCACATTATTTTCTGGTTCCAAAGATACCTCAGAACAAAAGAACATTATTGGTTTGAAATCAAGAACTATATAGCGCATGGCATCAGCCATGGGGGTGCCAACTTCCCACTCCTAAACAGATAGCAGGAGATCCTGCTCTCAGTTGACAGGTTTTATTGTTTGAAGCAATGATCATGTCACATGGCTAAAGTTGGTCTTGGACTGTCTACCTTCCTGCTTTGATCACCTGTGTATGGGTCTACAGGGCTATGCCAACAGACCTGGCACAGCTACTAGTGTTTCTGGTGGGTAGTAAAGAAAATAAAGGGATCCTTCCTGATAAAGGATTCCCTCTGCATGCTGTGAAAGTGTTTTATTTTCACTGGTTAATAAAGAAGTTAATTTGACCTACAACAGGGCAGAATAGAGCTAGGCGGGAAAACTAAACTGAATGCAAGGAGAAAGAAGGCAGAGTCAGGCAGATGCCATATAGCTACTGAAGGAGAAAGCTGCTGGAACCTTAGCAGTAGGACACAGCCTCATGGTGATACACAGATTAATAGAAACGGGTTAATTTAATATAAAAGCACTAGCTAGGAACACGCCTGAGCTGTTGGTCAGTGTTGTGATTAATATAGTTTCTGTGGATTTGGGTCTGGAGAGCTAGGAAACCAACCACAGTCTCCCATTTACAAATGGTACCCACTGTCTGGCATGGATCTACATAAGACCTTAAAAAAAAGAGGGCTTCTAGACTCACAAAAAATGGGGAGTCAATTGGGGTTTCTTGGCAGCCACACATTTTCAGATAGACTGTTTTCTGGTGGTGAGCAGAGGCATGGCTCCTTTAAGAAAAGGCTTCTGATTCAGCATTAGCAGCAAAAACTATGTGGTTCCTTTAAGAGACAGCTTTCTGGTTTGTGCTGGTGGCACAAATGGCTCTGGCTCTTTGGGGAGGTCCTGCTATGGAGCACTTGAATACAGACTGTGGGCAGCATGCTGCAAGTTACTTGGTAGCAGCATGGGCCAACTGCTTCCCAGAACTGAGTGGTGGTCCCAGAGCCGGCGGTGAACATACCACCTCCAAGTTGGACTGGGCAAAGCCAACAAGCAAAGTTGCAGCATTAGTCCTAGCCACTCTGCTTAGCATTCTTAGAAGCACTCCTGGTCAGAAAAGGATTTCAGATACTCAATAAAGACAGATGCAGACAAAACAAATCAAAAGACCTCTAAATGGGTCACATTGTTGGATAATGTACATGGCCTTAAGAGAGAGAGAAGAAAGAGTACAGTCAAACATTAAAGGAATAAAGATAATAAAATAAGGTAAAAAAAAAGCCAAGTAGAGATGGAAAATATGCAAAGAGTGTGGATTATGTATATTATTATATTTTCTTTGAATTTTGTGACTGTGAATGAGCTAACTACAGAGAGACATTTCATTGTACAGGCTGCTAAGTTAAACCAGAATATGCACATCCAAATTGGGGTCTAAGGATATGTTACTTTAGAAAAGATGTTCTGCTTTTGTTTTATCAGAGGATGGAAACTTGTGGATTCCTTCCAGGCTAATGTGGTCTGATGGGACAAGACCCCCAAAAGGTCTCCATGAACCCTAAAAATACTTTGCCCAACAAATAACAGGAAGGAGTTTGGAGAAAGCTATGCCCAAATTCCCAGAATGATTGCTCATAAACGTTTTCATTTAAAGGGGGATGTGATATAGAAATGAATACTTTGTATTAGTATGAATCTTGGTCTATTGATACATATTTAAGGTCAATTTTGTTACACTGTGTATATGTATTTCTGCTCCTGTTTAAAGTATTGTGTTTGCAGCTCATTTAAAAAATGTGGTATATAGTTAACAGATTAATGGATAGTCATCTATAATAAAACTTTTAATTATGTTAGGTTTTCTAGAAATATAGAGATATATTTCAGTTATATTAGTAATCTTCAACACTTCAAAGACCTACAGAATATGGCATTTAAACGATTTTATAGAACTTAGACTTTTCTCGGCAGTAAGTCATGCCTGCTTCCGGCAGCACCAATTGCTTCAGAGAAGTTGATGAGCATTGAAGAAACTCATGCAATTTGCCTTCAGTGTGACATTTGGGCTTCAGCTAGCTATTTGGGCAAGAAATTGCTCTTGGCTAGACTGCTTGATCATATGCTATATGAACTGGACATACAAGATGCACAGAAAAGTGACAGCTAAAGAAGTTCCCTAAAGAAGCTGGGACAGTTCTTCAGGGTTCCTGCTTCATGAGAGTCTGCCAGACATTCCGCAGGACACAGAAGAAAGTGACTGACAAACTGACAATATAGGCAAAACATTCTTTCAAATTTTCTGCTTCATGGAAAAGTCTGCCAGATATTATGGGCCTATAGGTTGAAGATGGATGCCCCAACATTATAGAACTTTGGGTGACTGTAGGAAGCAAAATGTCTCTGTCAATTCTAGAGTTTTGGAAGTTGCTTACAATGCACTTTCTGTTTAATTAGACAATATTATATTCTTCTGAGGTCTTTGATGGAGATGAAAACTAGATAATTATAATTATAGTGTTCCTTAGCTATGAAAACAAATTAGATATGAAGCTTTAGACACAAAGAAATATTGTAACTGTAATTCTTTCTTGATACCTGTTTTGTGTAATTTTACTATGTTAAAGTTAAAACCTTCCTTTTTATTTAGACAGCAAAGGGGAAATGAAGCGGTATTTGCCTCTGTATGCTATGAATATGTCTTTTGCCATTGGTTAATAAAGAAGCCACTTTGGTCTATGGCAGGGCAGAATAGAGCTAGGTGGGAAAACTAAACTGAATGCTGGGAGAAAGAAGGCGGAGTCAGGCAGATGCCATATAGTTGTCAAAGGAGAAAGACTCTGAACCTCACCAGTAGGCCACAGCCTCATGGTGATATACAGATTAATAGAAATGGGTTAATTTAAGATATAAGAACTAAGGCAGTGGTGGCACACACCTTTAGTCCCAGCTGAGGCAGGTGGATCTCTGAGTTCAAGGCCAGCCTGGTCTACAGGAGCTAGTTCCAGGACAGGCTCCAAAGCTACAGAGAAACCCCGTCTCAAAAAAAAAAAAAAACAGAAAAAAAAGGTAAGAAATAGCTAGGAACATGCCTGAGCCATTGGACAAACAGTGTGGTAATTAATATGGTTCTGTGTGATTATTTGGGTTCGGGCTGCCAGGAAACATGAGTGCAGTCTCCAGTCACACCATCCAGAGGGCGAGCTGGGAAGGTCAATCTGGCTAGAGCAGTGGTTTCCAGCCTGGGGTCATGATACCATGAGGAGGCAGACAGCCCTTTCACAGGGACCACATATCCCATATCCTGCATCTCAGATATTTACATTATGATATCAAGCAAAACTGCAGTTATGAAATAGCAATGAAAATAATTTTATGGTTGGGGGTTACTACAACATGAGGAACTGTGTTAGAGGGTTGCAGTGTTATGAGGGTCTAGAGAGAGGAGCCCGTTCCTCCTTCCTAAGCTCCTGGAGGCTGCTAGCACAAAGTCTGCCTCTGGGGCTCACTCACGTGGTTAAGTCTTCCGTGGTGCTGGCCACGAGTGCTGCAACCGACTTCTGCCGGCTCACAATGTCATGGAAACAATCAATTCCAATGAACATCGTCTTCTCCATCTTGATTTTTAGTTTTTGTACAAGAGATAGTAAGTTGGGTTAGAACAAAACAAGAAAAAGCTAAAACTAAATGAAAGGGTAGACACTTGAGTTTCACTACAAATATGTTAACTCAGGAGACAAAACCTTACATACGCCCATGTCCACCTTCCAGAGACAGGACCCTGCATATGCCCGTGCCCACCTTCCAGAGACAGGACCCTGCATACGCCTGTGCCCACCTTCCAGAGACAGAACTCTACATACCCCTGTGTCCACCTTCCAGAGACAGGACCCTGCATACGCCTGTGCCCACCTTCCAGAGACAGAACTCTACATACCCCTGTGTCCACCTTCCAGAGGGCACCTCCCATCTTGCAGTTCATCTGCTGAGCGATCTTGGTGACTATAGTAGTGAGATTCCTTTCATTATTCAGGGTCGATGCTACAACACACTGGCTGGGGACTGGCTTCTCAACGCACAGAAATGTTTTTATCTCCTCGTATCTTTGCTTTCCGTTGTCAGGCAGCACACACACCACCTGGAGAAAGATGGAAGCACCTCCACAGTGGCACAGTGGCATGAAAGGGAAAACCGTCTCCAGGTGGAGACCACTCAAGGGAGGTTGTGGATTAAGTCAGCATTGTCTCTAGGCAGGAGGACTATCTAGAATTACAGCGTGAAGCACACTGCTACCTCTAACTCCAACCCCAACTCCCATGAAGGCATGGGGAAGAAGACGGGCCAATTTGGTTGTGTGGGTCCATGGCTTTAAAAAAAATAATCATAAAACTTTTATTCTGATTATCCAATGTCTAAGAATTCACCATGGCATTATTTTTATTTCAAGGTGGGATGAAGAAGCCAGATCATTTCACCAGGTTCCCCAAGACCACTCATGTGTGGGGTACACACCTTCATTTTCTCCATTAATTCTTCCAGCGACCCACTGAGATAGGCACTATTACTTCAGTTACCACTTAGCAAGTGAACTTGGGGGTTGCAGATACCCCATGACTTACAAGGTGTCAAAAGTCTGTTAAGGAAAATGATTTCTATGTGCCTGTCTATGAATCTGCGGGAAAATCATGGGCATAGTATTTTATTCTTTAAACATATTTGTTTTAATTTATGTGTGTGCTTGTTCATATGTAAACATACTCATATACAACCGCCTGTAACTCCAGTTCTAGTCAGCAGCCCTCTTCCAACCTCCATGGGTGACTGCACTAACATAGACATGCCCGCATACAAACATACACAGGACACATAACATGCCCCCCACAGACACACACAGGACACACCATGCCCCCCACAGACACACACAGGACACACCGTGCCCCCCACAGACACACACACAGGACACACCGTGCCCCCCCCCACACACAGGACACACCGTGCCCCCCCCCACACACAGGACACACCGTGCCCCCCACAGACACACACAGGACACACCATGCCCCCCACAGACACACACAACACCCAACGTGCCCCCCACAGACACACACAACACCCAACGTGCCCCCCACTGACACACACACAGGACACACCGTGCCCCCCACCGACACACACACAGGACACACCGTGCCCCCCACAGACACACACAGGACACACTGTGCCCCCCACCGACACATACACATGACACCCAACGTGCCCCCCACAGACACATACATGACACCCAACGTGCCCCCCACCGACACACACACAACACCCAACGTGCCCCCCACTGACACACACACAACACCCAACGTGCCCCCCACTGACACACACACAACACCCAACGTGCCCCCCACGACACACATGACACACAACGTGCCCCCCACCGACACACACGACACCCAACGTGCCCCCCACAACACACATGACACACAACGTGCCCCCCACCGACACACACACAACACACAACGTGCCCCCCACGACTCACATGACACACAACGTGCCCCCCACCGACACACACACGACACACAACATGCCCCCCACCGACATACACGACACACAACGTGCCCCCCACAACACACAAGACACACGAACACACACGACACATAACATACCCACACACAGACACACTTATGACATAGTTTAACATAATTAAATAAAATACATGCAACTGCCACTTTTAGAACAGTCCCTGGATGTGAATCAGCTCCTCACCATTTGAGTATCTTGTGAAACATGTTTCTGTAATGCTTGCCTAAAGGAGCCAGGATCCTCATTGACTTGGTGCCTGGAAAACAAACATACCATCCTGTTTAGAAGGTGAACAGAGAAGTGCTTCAACCATGCAAGAAAGAGAAAACCAGACACATAAAATGCCAAGGTAGGCATTTCAGCACAACTCTTAAAAAGGGAGTTGGGGTGGCAGGGTTTCTCCGTGGTTAAAGGTATTTGGTGACAACCTAATGGCCAGAGTTCAGTCCTTGTCCCCTACATACTAAAGGAGGACTAAAGCCAGCTCCTGCCAGCTTGCATGTGTGCTCTGCCCTGCCCCAAAATGAAATACATGGATGAATAAATGTAATAAAAATATTTTAAGAAATCAAAATAAAAACATGTCAGGATCACCAGCTTGTAAGTGTAACAATGGAGGGGCTAACCTGAGTTAGACAGGTGACACAGAGCATCCTCCGACTCAACTGAGGAATGCTCCCAGGCACAGCGAGGGACACATACTTGGCGGCTCATTTGAGGTCCCTGTGAGTTCAAACTCTAGACCCTACACTGGGAAGTCTAGAAAATGAGTCAATGCCCTAATCAGAACTATCAGAGGGGACTCCCTGTGTCTGCAGGGGGTGGGGGCAAGAGGGTCACTCTGAAACACCCAGTCCAAGGCAGTCTTGCCTAATACAGTGTCTCCGCCTGACCCCACCCCTCCCCGGTTGCACTGTGCTCAGGAGAGACCAACTCGTCCTGAGGGAAAAGGCGCCCTGGTGCTGGCCTGGCTGGGCTAGCCTTTGCAGTGTGTCCGCGTGCGCTCCAACCACCTAGCTGCTTCACAGCCCTCGCCCATTCGGAGCTACTAAATCCCATGCCTTCCGTGGCACCTCACATGCACAGACCACAGATCCGGGTTGACGGGTGATGATTGGAAGACTTAGACATGCTTCATTTTGAGCAGATTTTAGGAAGTTTTATCAAGAGGATGGGTGATTCCTGGGAGTGGTGTGGTATTAGAGGTAAAGGCTGGGAGACGCTCTGTGAATACAGAGGAAAGGACCAAGAGCCAAGGAACACAGGCAGCCTCCAGAAACTGACCAGAGGAAAGATGCTCAGCTATATCAGATGCTTGATTTAAGGTGGGAAAAAGCAAACAAAACAAAACAGAGACAGAAACAAACTCCCTTGGGACGTCTGAACAAGAATAAAATGTGTGTGCAACTTTAGCAACTACATATGTGACATTTGTCACAGCAGCCAGGGGGTGCTACTAACAAAAAGACATCACCAAATGAGGGGCCAGCCAGAGGGCTCAGTAATGAGGGCCTTGTGACCTGAGCGCTCTCCAGGACCACGACGTGGAAGGAGAGAACCGACCCCCTCAGGCAGTCCCCTCTGCTCTGTTGCTGTGTGCTATGGCTTGCATGTATGCGATTAACAAAACTAAAACAAAACTCAAGGTCTCCCTATATCCCTAGCTGTCCTGGAACTCACTATGTAGATCAGGTTGGCCTTGAACTTACAGAGATCTGCCTGCCTCTGCTTCCCAAGTGCTGAGAGTAAAGACGTGGACTACCATGCCTGGTACAAGATGTCTATGTGTGTGTGTATATACGTGTGTGTGTGGTGTACATGTGTGTGTGGTGTACGTGTGTGTGTGGTGTATGTCCGTGCGCATATGTACACGCTATGTGTGCATATGTGCATATGTGTGTGTGGTGTACGTGTGTGTGTGGTGTACGTGTGTGTGTGGTGTACGTGTGTGTGTGGTGTACGTGTGTGTGGTATACATGTGTGTGGTGTATGTCCGTGCACATATGTGCTCGCTATGTGCGCATATGTGTATATGTGTGTGTGGTGTGTGTGTGTGGTGTGTGTATGTGTGTGGTGTACATATGTGTGTGTGGTGTACATATGTGTGTGTGGTGTACATGTGTGTGTGGTGTACATATGTGTGTGTGGTGTATGTCCGTGTGCATATATGCATGTTATGTGCGCATATGTGCATATGGTGCATGTGTATATGTGTGTATGTATGTGTGTGGTGTATGTGTGTGTGGCATGTGTATATGTGTGTATATGTGTGTGTGATGTGTGTGTATGTGTGTGTGTACCTGTGTCTGTGTTATAAGGTGGGGGCCTGAGGTGCCTACAGAGGTCAGCAGAGGGCATCAGATTCCCTGGAACTGGAGTTCCAGGCAGCAGTGATTCTCCGTGGCATGGGTGCTAAGAACAGAAGTCCGGTACTCCTAAGAGCAGCCAAGTCATCTCTCTAGCTCCATTCCCCACAACCAACAGAAAGTTATTTTTAATCACTATATGAAATAACAATTGCTTGTCTTTTTCAAATAAAAATCATTTTTTTACTGAAACAGTTTTACATTCTCTTTTGATGGATACCTTGCTCATCCTGGATATAGTGGCCTTGGACCTTCCCCGAAGCAATGTCCCTTACCCTGAGGTGTGGATGGGGGTGGGGTGGGGGAGGGTAAGTGGAGGGAATGGGAGGAGGGGAAGGAGTAGGAACTGGGATTGGTATGTATAATGAAAAAAGATATGTTTAAATTTTTTATTTTTTCAAAAAAAATCTATTATAAGGTTTCTTTCTGGGTTGAAAAAAATTGAAATAAGCTTTTTTTTTGTTTAAGAGAACACGATTCCTACAAAGTAATAATTCTTGCAATTTGGCTTCCCAAGGGTAACCAGCTGGTTCAGACTAGGACATACTTGGTCCCTGCTTACCTTGCTGCCCGGGACATTTTTATATTCATTTCTTCAGTGACCTTGTCGAGCGTGCTCACTAGCCGGTTGACCTGGGAGGAGCAGCTCCTGGTGTGCAGGACCACCCAGCGATCTAAGGACTTTGCTCTATGTAAGGCTATGTTCTTCGAGTTCCTTAGCCAGTTCTGTAGGTGTGGTTTGACTGTGTACTGGAAAGGAATATTCAAGACATAGAAAACACACGGTTTGACAGGTTGGCGTCATCGGTTCCTTCCTGCAGTGTGACCTTTCTGCTGCCTACGAATTTGTGAGTATGTCCATCTTTTCTCCTTATGAAACTGAAAGCCAAGGCTGCCCGGAGCTGCAGGACTCCCCACCTTGGCCTTGGGACTCTCTTCTCAAATATGGAGTAAATTTGGTATTTAAGATACAGGTGAGGGAAACTGGGCCTCTAACCACAGTTGGTGAGAGAAGCAGATGGCGCTAACCTCCTACATAGACAAACCGAAGTCTGGTGCAGACTGGCAGATGAGACCAACCTGCCTCGGCATCTCTCTACTCTAACTAATCAAAACTATTCGCTCTGCCTAGCTTCCATTCTGACCTGTTACACTTCTGACCCATACTGATGCCCTGGGGCTCCGCCAAGCCATCCTGGCCCAGGGAGCAGCCCAAACACAGGAACTTCTATCCCCAGCAGCAAATGCCCACAATTCTCTTAAAGATGGAGTTCAGAGCTTGCTTCGGTACTAAGCATGGCAGATGTCTCCTATCAAACATTCGTCCCCTCACACAATGAGGTCATCTTGAGGGGTAAAAAGCGACAATTGTGGTTATTAATGGGTTTTGAGCTGAAGGTGCTATGGCCAACTCCAACCTGCTTACCGATCGGGCACCTTGGAAAAGCTTTACTGAGCTCAGAACTCTTCCTGGCACAGACAGACTGTTGCCATCAAACGTCACCTTCCACTGCAGGAACTCATTTTTTATGTTCTGATTTCTGAAAAACAAGCAAGAAAATAACTTGAATCCAAGGTCTTACTCTACACTATGATGCCACAGACAAAACTCTGAGGGTGATGTCTTTTCCTCTTGGGCCTGTGCACTCACTTCTGGGCCAGTCTCCCCTTGTTGGAAGCTAACACTTGAGTGTCAGGAAGATGAAGCTGTTCTGCCCACAAAGGACCACGTCTATAATCATTGTTATGTATTATATATGTATGCATATATATGAGAGCTCACCCATGTATCTACATGTAGATTCTAGAACAATGGGGGATCTTCCTCTATATATAGCTCTCCACTTTAGTTTTGAGGCAAGGTCTCCCACTGTGCCTAGACCTCACCCACTTGAGTGAGATTGACTGGCCAACAAGCCCCTGGGATAGCAGGTAAATGCCTGGCTTTTCATGCAAGCTATAAACTCAGGTCCTCATGCTTCCGCAGTAGGCAGCTCACCCAAAAAGCCATCTGTCCAGCTGTTTTGAGGCAGAATCTCTTTATGCTGCCCAAACTGGCCACACAAGTTTGTAAGTTCCGTCTCAGTCTCCAGTATGCTGGGATTTCAGACCCAAATTTCTATCCCTGGCTTATGATTGTCATTGTTTTAGCAGAAGGATCATAGGTGTCAAAAGGCTACACCCAGGTCTCAACCTGCGTACAATGCCACATACAGGTACGCAGACAGCAACCAAGAAAGGTACTTACGTCTGAATGTCCTTCATGAAATTGTTCAGTGTGATCCTCCGATTCACTGGGCTCATTCTCATTCTGTCAGTCAGCTGCGCCATTAGGCTATGGTTTTCAGATACAGCACGTGCTAGACCTTTGGAAAATGCAAGAAGCTACAGCATACAGGTGAGGGTCAACTGGTCCTAGAGAAAATGCAGAATAACCAATTGCCTCAAAGGATGCAATTCCAGGTCAGAGTACTGGGAAAGCCTGAGTTTCTGCACCTGATGTTTAAAGAAGGGCTAACTTCCACAGAGCCATGTAGGTCATACCTGTCAGGTAACACAGCTGAGGGACCAGGAAGATAGGCTCATGAGGTGTAGACATCTGGCCCTTCTTCCACTTGCCCAAGCTCATCAAGAGTGGCTGATCCGGCTGAGTTATGATGGTCTTGTATCGCTGCTCCGTGGAGGCGAGAAAGACAAGAGGTCAACACAACTCCAGTAACTTCCCAGGAAGGGAAGCATGGGTCACACAAGACACAGAGACACCACACCCACTATTTCCCTAAAAATGTGTGGAGAATTTTTCTGTCTACATGGGTGTGGTAAGACCCCAGCCTTTACAAGCACCTGTGGCCAAAGGGAAGGGCTCCATAAAACACACCATCAAAACTATGTGTGGAGATGGATGACAAACTCTTGTGTGGTGTCTGTGTGCATGCACATGTGCGCACATGCAAGCAACGTGTCTGATATATGTGTTTGTGGTGTATGCATGTATGTGTGAGAGTGTACTTGTATTGTGCAATGTGTCTGTAGCTGTGGGGTATGTATGTGCTAGTATGTTTGCCTGTGTATGCTTGTAAAGGTGTAATGTGTTCGTGATATATCTGTGTTTGTGGTATATGCATGTATGTGCATAAATATGAGCTAGTGTGCTTGCCTGTGTGTGTGTGAGGTGTGGGAAGTCCTGTATGTGTTTGCTTTTGTTGATTAATGAATAAAGAAGCTGGCTTGGCCTGTGATAGGGCAGAGTAGAGCTAGGCAGGGAAAACTATACTGAATGCTGGGAGAAAGAAGGCAGAGTCATGAGACGCCATGGAGCCGCCAGAGGAGAAAGATGCACGTTGCCAGCAGGAACCTTGGCAGTAGGCCATGAGCCTCATGGTAAAATCTAAAATAATAGAAATGGGTTAATTTAAGAGATAAGAGTGAGCTAGAAATATGCATAAGCCAATAGGCCAAACAGTGTTGTAGTTAATACAGTTTCTGTGTGGTTGTTTCAGTTCTGGGCAGCTGGAAACAAACAAGTGACCTCCTTACAACAGAATGGTGCACCAGCATGGTCGATTAGATCCATGTAAAATCTGAGAAAGCATTAAAAGGACACAGGAAAGAAAACAGTTTAACACAGCTTCTTGCTCTGCTTGCTGGCAGCATGCCACAGCTCCTTTGAGAAAGGTCTTCCTGGTTAAGCGATTGAAAAAAAAAAACAATTGAAACGGTCACTTCTTGGGCTATACTGCCAGTACGAACTCTGACTCTTTTGGAAAGTCTGGCTATGGAGTATTTAAATGGAGTTTATGAACAGAGTGCTACAACTTGTTTAATGGCAACACAGACCTGCTGTGACCTAACCTTGGATCTGGGCAAATAGAATAGCTCTCAGAGGCAATGAACGGATCCCCCTCCGCCATGTTGGACTGGGCAGAGCCAAAAAGCAAAGCAGTTTGAATCCTTGTAACACTGCTTAACATTTTAAGAAGTGTTCCTAGGCTCCTGGACAAAAAAATTTCAGATACACAATAGGACATAAAAGACCTCTAAATGCAACTGGATGTCAATCTGTAGAAGAATGAAAAGAGATCCATATCTATCACCATGCACAAAACTCAAGTCCAATGGATTAAAGACCTCAATATCAGTCCGAACACACTGAACCTGATAGAAGAGAAAGTGGGAAGTACTCTACAACACATGGGCACAGGAGACCACTTCCTACATATAACCCCAGCAGCACAGACATTAAGGGCCTCATTGAATAAATGGGACCTCCTGAGACTGAGAAGCTTCTGTAAAGCAAAGGACACTGTCACTAAGACAAAAAGGCAACCCACTGACTGGGAGAAGATCTTCACCAACCCCGCAACTGACAAAGGTCTGATCTCCAAAATATATAAAGAACTCAAGAAACTAGACCGTAAAAGGATAATCAACTCAATTATAAAATGGGGCACTGAGCTGAACAGAGAATTCTCAACAGAAGAACTTCAAATGGCCAAAAGACACTTAAGGTCATGCTCAACTTCCTTAGCGATCAGGGAAATGCAAATCAAGACAACTTTAAGATACCATCTTACACCTGTCAGAATGGCTAAAATAAAAAACACCAATGATAGCCTTTGCTGGAGAGGTTGTGGAGAAAGGGGTACACTCATCCATTGCTGGTGGGAATGCAAACTTGTGCAACCACTCTGGAAAGCAGTGTGGTGGTTTCTCAGGAAATTCGGGATCAACCTACCCCTGGACCCAGCAATACCACTCTTGGGAATATACCCAAGAGAGGCCCTATCATACAACAAAAGTATATGCTCAACTATGTTCATAGCAGCATTGTTTGTAATAGCCAGAACCTGGAAACAACCTAGATGTCCTTCAATGGAAGAATGGATGAAGAAAGTATGGAATATATACATATTAGAGTATTACTCAGCAGTAAAAAACAAGGACTTCTTGAATTTTGCTTACAAATGGATGGAAATAGAAAATACTATCCTGAGTGAGGTAAGCCAGACCCAAAAAGAGGAACATGGGATGTACTCACTCATATTTGGTTTCTAGCCATAAATAAGGGACATTGAGCTTATAATTCGCGATCCTAGAGAAGCTAAATAAGAAGGTGAATCCAAAGACAAACATATAGGCATCCTCCTGAATATTAACCTTCATCAGGCGATGAAAGGAGACAGAGACAGAGACCCACATTGGAGCACCGGACAGAAATCTCAAGGTCCAAATCAGGAGCAGAAGGAGAGGGAGCACGAGCAAGGAACTCAGGACCTCGAGGGGTACACCCACACACTGAGACAATGGGGATGTTCTATCGGAAACTCACCAAGGCCAGCTGGCCTGGGTCTGAAAAAGCCTGGGACAAAACCAGACTTGCTGAACATAGCGGACAATGAGGACTACTGAGAACTCAAGAACAATGGCAATGGGTTTTTGATCCTACTGCATATACTGGCTTTGGGGGAGCCTAGGCAGTTTGGATGCTCACCTTACTAAACCTGGATGGAGGTGGGCGGTCCTTGGACTTCCCACGGGTCAGGGAACCCTGATTGCTCTTTGAGCTGATGAGGGAGAGGGACTTGATCGGGGGAGGGGGAGGGAAATGGGAGGCGGTGGCAGGGAGGAGGCAGAAATCCTTAATAAATAAATAAATTTAAAAAAAAAGACTTCTAAATGAAGCACAGTGTGTTTAATGTACGTAGGCTTGGGAGAGAGAGGAAAAAGAGTAAAGAGACAGTAAATGTAATATAAAAGAGTACAGACAGTCATAGATTCAAGGAGTAAAGATAATAAAATATTAAACTTGTAGAAAAGATAATAGAATAAGAAAAATAAGCCACACAAAGATGGAATATGCACAGAGAATCTGAATTATACATATTGCGTTTTCTTTAATTTTTTGACTGTGAAGAAGCTAAGTACAGAGAGACATTTCATTATATGGGCTGATAAGTTAAACCAACATATATATTTTAAAGGTATCTTTACTCCAAAATTTGGGTCTAAGGATTTGTTGCTTTGGAAAAGAGATTCTTTTGTTTTACAGAGGATGAGAACCTATGGACTCCTTCCAGACTAATGTGGCTTGATGGACCAAGGTCCCCTAAAAGATCTCTGTGAATACCCCCAAAAATTACTTTGCCCAACAAAAAGCAAGAAGCAATTTGGAGAGAACTATGCCCATATCCCCAAATATTGTTTATAAATGTTTGTTTACATTTAAAGGGTAATATGTTATAGAGATTTGCATTGGTATGGATCTTGGTCTATTGATACAAATTTAAGGTCAATTTTGTTATGTGTATATTTCTGCTCTTGATTAAGGGATTGTGTTTGTGCAGCTCATTTAAAAATGTAATGTATAATTAAGAAATACAGGTTAATAGGTAATCATCTATAATAGTCAAGCTTGTAGTCATGTTAGGTTTTCTAGATATAGAGAGATAAATTTCAGTTAGATTGGTAATCTTCAAATCTTTCAAAGATCTACAGAATATGCCATTTAAAATATTTTAAGAACTTAGGACTTTTTATAATAATGAGACACATCTGCTCCTGGCAGCACCAATTCAAGAGGAAAATGGGTATTGAAGAGGCTCCTCATGGAGTTTGTTAGTCATTTGGGCAAGAAACTGCTCTTCCTTGGCCTGCTTGATGTTATGCTGTATGGACTGGACTTATAGAACCCACAGAAAGATGACTGCTGAACTTGCCTAAAGAAGGTTAGAATGTCCTTTGGGGTTCCTGCTTCATGAAAGAGTCTGCTAGATATTCTGCAGGACACACAAAAAAGTGACTTGACAAACTGCCAATATAGGTGGAACTGTCTTTGAAATTTCCTGCTTCATGGAAAAGTCTGCCAGATACTATGGGCCTGTATACTGAAGATGGGTACCCCAATGATACAGAAGAACATTGGGTGACTGTCTAGGCAATGAGATGTCTCTGTCAATTCTAGAGTTCTGGAACTTCCTGTTTACTTAGGTAATATATCCTTCTGGAGTCTTTGATGGATTAAAGAATAGATAGTTACAGTTATAGGTTTCCTTAGTTACAGTTATAATTTTCCTTAGTTCTGATAAAAGATAAAGTACATATACATATTGTAACTGTAATTCTTGCTTGATGCCTGTTTTGTTATATGTAATTTTGCTATGTTAAAGTTAAAGCCTTCCTTTTTGTTTAAACAGAAAAGGGGAAATGGTGTGAAAAGTCACTCAGTATATGTGTTGCTTTTATTGGTTAATGAATAAAGAAACTGGCTTGGCCTGTGATAGGGCAGAGTAGAGCTAGGTGGGAAAACTAAACTGAAGGCTGGGAGAAAAAAGGCAGAGTCGTGAGACACCATGGAGTCACCAGAGGAGAAAGATGCAAGTCGCTAGCTGGAACCTTGGCAGTAGGCCATGAGCCTCGTGGCAAAATATAATAAAAATGGGTTAATTTAAGAGATAAGAGTGAGCTAGAAATATGCATAAGCTAATAGGCCAAGCAGCATTGTAGTTAATACAGTTTTTGTGTGGTTATTTCAGTTCTTGGAAGCTGCGAACAAACAAGCAGTCTCCTTACATCAAGTGCACGTGTGCATGTGCGTGTGTGTGTGTGTGTGTGTGCGCGCGCGCGCACGCGCGCGTAGGTTAGAGGTCAGCATGAAGTGTCCTGCTCTATCACTCACCATCTTACCTCAAGACAGGGTTTCACTGCACCTGAACCCTACAGATCAGGCAGACTGGCCCACAGGTCTCTGCAATCCTGCCTCCACATGCCAGCAGTGGTTTATAAACACTGCCAGCTCTGGCTTTTATGTGGATGACAGGGATTCAAATGTGGGTCTTCATGCTTGAGTGGCGAGCACTTCACTCTCTAAGCCATCACCCCAGTCCAAGAGACTTACAAAAAGGGCAAAACCTCGTCCCTCCTAAATGTCAGTTACGGGTCTTCCAGCCTCTCTGCTGAGTCATTTCTGCTAAACTTAGACCCTGCATGCAGCTTCAGCAGCTGTTTTTGTGTTTTCTCATGCCGCCCTCCCATTCAATACCTCACTGTTGGGGGACCCTTCTTCCTGTATGCTTGAGTACTGGAAACCAGACTTGGGTCCTCTGGTGGAACAATTTGCATCATCTTTCCAGCCCAAGCAGCTGCTCTAGAGTATCCTCATGACACCCTGTCCTATCTGAGACTCCCCACCACAGTACTCACCAACCGTCCCCAAGCTGGCGCCTGTGCCCTGTCCCACCCTCCCCTGAGACCCATACCATCATCCTTTGACCCCAGAGCAACTGCCTCACTAAGTTTTCCTGTCTCCATTTCTTTTTTTCGGTTAGCAAATAAAAGACTGGAGTTTCTTATGACATCTTCATGCATGTTACATGAAGTGCCATTACACTTTGCTGTCTTGCTCCCATTGCCCTGACCTCTGCCTTCTGTATTCCCCTTTCCTCACTCCAAAAGGGTTCCCTTCTGCTTTCATGTCTTCTAAATATGTGTGATATGGAGCCAAGTCACGGAACCAACTTACACATCCATAAATAGATACACGGGTAAAGAACTTGATACATATAATACTTGAGAGCAGAGGTGGGCAGTGTATGAGGAAGTGGTAGGAAAGGGTGAGAAGATGAAAGCACATGGCACAGATGCCAAGAGTTCATCGCTCCATATGATACATGTGTGTGCGTGCATGCATGTGTGATGGTTATGATCACATATGGTAGCAACATATAGGTGATATATATTGCATGGTGCATATATCACACTCTGCTCAATACCATTGGCTCACAGTGCAATCTGGTTTAACCCAGCACATAAAATGTGACTCCAGGTGGTTTCTGCCCCACGCAGTTCCTGTCTTACTAGCTTTGTTGGTGACAAAACCTGCCAGACACATCCTGAGTCCCATGTTTCTCCCTCATCTGCCCAGCTCAGTCCTTTCTGCTTTTCTGAGCTACTCTGTGACCTCTTCAGTAAATGGCCATGCCTCCATAGATAGAGCAGAATGTATTAATACATGTTTCAGCCACCTAAAGACAACATAGAAATCAATTTATCTAATGAGCATCTTCACGATTTAAATATTTAGAGAGAGAAATCCCTTACCTCCCTGTAGTAGTCTATGTAGGTGGTCTGGCTGCCATCAAATTTTTCAAATGTATCTTGAGGTTTCTTCTCCCAGTTGACATCATCGATTCTGTAGGTTTTATTGTTGTACCTGTGGTGGAGGTAAGAATCAAGCTCTGACCATTCATGGTACACAGCCATGCTGGGAAGAAAGTATTGCAAATTCTGACACACTGTGCAAGTTCATCCATGCCAGGGGTCTTGTCCATCTTATTTTTTAGAATACACAGGGTTGACCATTTGATCATCAACAAGGTTTTACATTTCATCTATCAAGAAAGAATGCCAAAATGCTAAGTGGCTCTTACCTAACCCGAATCTCCTGGTCCTACCCAAGGCAGTCACTGAGTGCTCTTGTCTCTCTCCACTCTGACCTGGTCACACATTTCATATAAATCAGAGTACTCAGAGAATACACAATCATTTCTGACTTGTTTCCTCCACCAGTCATAAGCATGTCATACGTTCCTATTTCTAAGTAATATTCCATTGTATGAACATAAAATGCCTCATCTACTGACAAAATGGTAGACATCAAGTCTGCTCAGCTTTGGACTGTGATGGAATTTATGGTCATCTTGGTAGACACAGGCTCTCACTTCCTTTTGGAAATACCTATATAACTGAGTGGGTTTCCTATATAGGTTATATGGGAAATACCTATACAACTGATATGGGAAATACCTATATAACTGAGTGGGTTTCCTATAAAGGTTATACGGGAAATACCTGTATAACTGAGTGGTTTCCTATACAGGTTATATGGGAAATACCTATATAAGTGGGTCAAGGGTAACGTCATTGTCACCGCTGAGGGCATGTCAGGTTGTTTTCCAGAGAAATGGTTTCAGAGTCCTACACTTTTTACACTCCAGTGATATTTCACTTGTGGTTGGTTCTGACTTGTCACCTCTGCACTGGACTGTTTATCTTGGCTGTCCCCATGAGTGTGAAGTAGCACACTGGGTACAGTAGCATCCCTGTTACCCAGGGTGAGCACCACTTCACTTCCTGGTCAGCAGTGTGCTCCCTTCCAACAAGTGTCTGGAAACATGTCTGGTCAGATGCTTTCCTCATTCATAAAAACCGAGTTGTCTTTTCATTGTGCTGTTTATATTCTGTAAGCACCTTTACAAGCTGTGTGACTCAAGAGCATTTTCTCCCTTCCTGTCCATTTGTCCTCATGTCTTCACAGTGTGCTTACAACACTCTACCTATGCTCCCCCCCTTTCTTTTTGGGGTCTTATTTAGGAGTGCTTTTCTTTCATCTAAAGTCTGATGTTTCTAATAAAATTATATTTTCACAAAGTCTATTTTGAATTTCCAAGTTAAATTTGGGTGAGTTTTGTGTGTTCTGTAAGGAGGAGCAGACAGATGCTCAGTTACCCCAGCGCATTATTATAAAGACTGTGCTTGACCTGAAGTGATGCACATTCCCATCAAACACCCAGGGACTATGAAGGGCTCAGCTTAACTGGACTCTCAGCTCATCACTCTGCAGGCACCAGCATATCAGGGTTCCTGTGTTTTCTAATAAAGTCTAAAGTCAGGCGAGGTGAGCCTTGGCTCTGTTTTTCCTGCTAGTTTGGCTGCATCACTGGTTCCTTAACTGCACTTACTCATCAAGGTAAAGTTTCTGGTACAGAAGGAGAAATGAAGATAAAGCATCCTCCAAGGTGGAAGCTGCCCTCGGGCTAAACCTAGCACTAGACACCAACAGCTTAGAACAGGATGAACTCGAGCAGAAAAACCATCAAGGTCCAGGAGCAAACAAAGGGATATGCAGGGGCATGAGACAGACACCAGACACATTCGCCCCCACACCCAATCCTCAAGCCGGGTAAGCAAGTGAGAAGGATCACATGATGCTTATTTTCCTACTTTAGCCTTGAATTTCATTAATGTGTGCTGCAGAATATTTGTTTAGCTACATAAGGATGCATTTGTTTATGCTGCGGAATATTTATTTAGCTACGTAAGGATGAGCTGCATTTGTTTAATTGGGTAACGATGTGTTGCCATTTTACTTTGCCTACCTAAGGTCTAATAAAAGATTGGTCTAATAAAAGGCTGAATGGTCAATAGTGAGGGAGGAAGGATAGGCGGGACTTCCAGGTAAGGAGAGTAAGTGGAGGAGGAATTTAGATGGGGGGAAGAAAGGAAAGGAAAAAAAAAAGAAAGGAAAGGAGACAACAGGGAGATGCCAGGGCCAGTCAGACATGGAAGACACAGGAAAGTAGGACGTATAGAAAGCAAGAGGTTAAAAAAAAAGCCCTGAGGCAAAACATAGATGAATAGAAAAAGATTGAATTAAGTTAAAGGAGCTAGAGGGATAAACCTAAGTTAAGGTCAAGCATTCATAATTAATAAGTCTTCCGAGTCTTAATTTGGGAGCTGGTTGGTGGCCCAAAGAAAACTCCAACTACAAATCTGTGCTGTTTGAGCATGACAAAGCTTTTCGTGAGGGACTAAAGCGACAGCCAGAGCGACTAGTCAGTGTCTGAAACAGACTTACGTGGTGTAAACAATGGATCCCACCACCTCTTCAAAGACTTCTTCCTTTTTCGTGGCTTTATCATTCTTCTCACGAATGAGGTCCAACACAGTTTTCTTCTGGAGCAGCCTGTGCGTCACGTCAGCACACAGGGTCAGGCTCTTCTCATACGGTAGGATGGAAGTAGTGTAGCTACGCTTGATGTCCATTCTGTGAAAGAATCCATTACACAAAGGCCAGTCCCAGCATTCCATGTCAGAACTGGGCTCACCACAGGAGCTGCTTGGTCTAAATTCCTTATTTTCATCAGGTCCCTTCTAATCTTCAGAAGGACCATCAAAGGAAGTCCACTTACAAGCCACCCATGATCTTTGTCAAACTATACTTATAGCCATGGTGCTCAAAGCATCAAGCTAGATGTAATTTTTTATGCTGTAACATTTGACACCAGCAGCACAGACATATAGAGTTAATTAATGTTATCCACATTGTTCTAGAGGAAATTGCCCAGGCCTCATTTGATTCATTGTTCATGTAATAGCTAGAATATGGAACAATGCTTATCAAGCCAAGAATGGTTGCATATGGCTGGTAGAAGCAAGAGGATCTCTAAGTCAGAAGCCACTCTGGTCTACATAGTGAATTCTAGAACAGCCAGGGCTACACAGTGAGCCCCCACCTGAATGCCAAACAAAAGTTTATCATACTCAGTTTTAATTTGACATGCAGTACCACACTACGGAGCCTGGGGCTCATCCTTCTCCCACCTCAGCATAAGGCTTGCATTATTGTTTCTTTAAGAAGGGGTCTCTCTACATAGCTCTGGCTGTCCTGTAACTCACATTGTAGAGCAGGCCGGCCTCAAAACCACAGAGATCCACCTGCCTCTGCCTCCAGAGTTCTGGAATTAAGGTCATGCACTGCCACCATCTCAGCCTGCCTCAGTGCCTTGAGTGCTGGGATTGTTTTTAAGGTCAATCTTTTCACCTTACATTAAATTGAATTTGCTTTTTGGGACAGGGACTTCCTCTGTAATCTTAAACTCTCATCAATCCTGTCTCAGTCTCCCACATGCTGGGATTATCCAAGCCTGGCATGGTGAATCTTCGCTGTTCACAATTGGTGGGTGTCACTTAAAAATCCCTGCTCCTTGCTGCAGGCTCTGCATTTGGTGAGCTAGAGGCAATGCTAGAGAGCTCATCTGGGTTGTGATAATGACGGAAAGCTACCACCCAGGCTCAGAATCAGGGCTGTGAGTTGGCCCACCCCAACATCCAACACATCTATGAGCATGTGGAGGGGATGAACCTACAGATCCAAAACATCAGGATCTCCATGACACAGGACAACAATAGGATATCCAAGAGGAAGCCCAGGGGGAGCTCATTATCAGTGGCATAGCAGAAGCCAGAGGCCTGGAGCCAGACCAATGGCTTCAAAGACTCACAGCAGTGAACACTTGCAAGGAAAGTTGAATGTATTAAAGGGCAAATTAATTCAACGCAATGCCCATCAAAATCCCAGCAAAATTCTTCCAAGACCTCGAAAGAATGGCACTCAAATCAACTTCATATGGAAAAGCAAAAAAAAAACCCAGGCTAGCCAAAACAATCCTAAACAATAAAAGAATTTCTGGAGGCATCACAATCCCTGACTTCAAACTCTACTACAGAGCTACAGTACTGAAAACAGCCTGGTATTGGCATAAGAACAGACAGAAGGACCAATGGAACTGAATAGAAGACCCGGATATTAATCCACACATCTTCAAACACCTGATCTTTGATAAATAAACAAAAGATATAAAATGGAAAAAAGAAAGCATATTTAACAAGTGGTGCTGGCATAACTGGATTATCAACATGTAGAAGAATGAAAATAGATCCATATCTATCACCATGCACAAAACTGAAGTCTAAATGGATTAAAGACCTTAATATCAGTCTGAACACACTGAACCTGATAGAAGAGAAAGTGGGAAGTACACTTGAATGCATTGGCACAGGAGACCACTTCCTAAATCTAACTCCAGCAGCTTAGACACTGAGAGAAACAATAAATGAGACCTCCTGAAACTGAAAAGTTAAAGCAAAGGACACGATCAACAAGACAAAACAACAGCCTACAGAATGGGAAAAGATCAACCCCACATCAGACAGAGGTCTGATCTCCGAAATACACAAAGAACTCAAGAAATTGGACACCAAAAGAACACATAATCCAATAAAAAAAAATGGAGTACAGGCCTAAACAGAGAACTCTCAACAGAGGGAATCTCAAATGGCTGAAAGATAAGAAAATGTTAAACATCCTTCGTCAGAGAAATGCAAATCAAAACAACTCTGAGATTCCATCTTACACCTGTAAGAATGACCAAAATCAAAAACACTAATAACAACTTATGCTGGAGAGGTTGTGGGGGAAAAAGGAACATTTTGCATTGCTGCTGGGAATGCAAGCTGGTACAACCCCTTTGGATGTCAGTGTGGCAATTTCTCAGAAAATTAAGAAACAACCTTCCTCAAGACCCAGTAATACCACTTTTGGGTATATATTCAAAGATGGTCAATTGTGCCACAAGGACATGTACTCAGCTATGTTCATAGCAGCTTTGTTTGTCATATCCAGAACCTGGAAACAACCTAAATGCCCCTCTACTGAAGAATGGATAAGGAAAATGTGGTACATTTACACAATGGAATACTACACAACAGAAAAAAATGACAGCTTGAATTTTGCAGAAAAATGGATGGAGCTAGAAAACTTCATATTGAGTGAGGTAACCCAGACCCAGAAAGACAATTATCACATGTACTCACTCATAGGTGATTTTTAAACATAAAGTAAAGAAAAACCAGCCTACAAACCACAATCCCAGAGAATTTAGACAACGAGGACACTAAAAGAGACTTACATAGATCTAATCTACATGGGAAGTAGAAAAAGACAAGCTCTCCTGAGTAAATTGGGAGCATGAGGATCTTGGGGAAGGGATGAAGAGTAGGGGGAGAGGCAGGAAGGGGAGCAGAGAAAAACACAGAGCTCAATTAATATCAATAAAAATATATTAAAATAAAAATATATTAAAAAGCAATAAACACCTTAAATACTTAAAATAAATAAAGGGCAAATTGTGTGACTCATCGGGCTACCTTGCAACTCCCATGATGAGCCTTCTTTATCTGTTAGCTATATTTGCTCTTTCGTTTTTCTTTTAAGTTTTGTTTTGTTTTGGGGAAGAGGTTGCAAGGGCAAGAGATGTGAGGGGATGGGGGAGAGGTGGGATCCGAAGGCATGGGATGAAACCCACAAAGGATCCGTAAGTTAAAAGAACAAAAAGAATCACACCACCTCAAAGCAGAGTAGCAGTCTCCAAGGCGATTTTCTAATTAAATTTTTACATAGCAGTTTAGCCCCCCTCCCCATTTTTCTCAAACCTTGAGGCCTGGAGCAGGTTTCTGAGGTCTCTGAGGTCTCCGGGATTTGACTCCATCTCTTCCAGGTTATTCAGCTTCAGCAGTCTGGAAATGCAGGGAGAGGACGCTCAGTGAGTGCGACCTGGAGCACACACAAAGACACACGAGGAAAGCTACAAACACAAAGTGCTCGGTAGGTAAAGCATGTGATGAGGTTGGCCTCAAGGTAGGCAGAGTATCCTTTGCTCCCGGGACTGACCTGGAAAACATCCTGCAGACTCCACAACCCAAATGGTCCTTATGAGTTTAGAACAGAACACATACATATTTAAGACACAAGGGGCAGACACGCAGTGTAGACATCTGTTCCTTTTTCCAGACAGGTGGCAGACCCAGGAAGTGGGCCTGGGCAGGAGGATAAATACTAGGGACCAGATGCTGAACTTGCATGTTGACTCTGAGGTTCAAACATCATTTTACTCAGAAGTCTCTTGTTTGTATCAACTTGTGCGGCCTCAAGAACACATACAGTTAAAGGGATGTGGCTTTGTTAACTTCCAGGCATGGAGAGCACAGTGAGTGGGGGGGCGCGCACAGTGAGTGAGTGGGGGGAGCACAGTGAGTGAGTGGGGGGAGCACAGTGAGTGGGGGGAGCACAGTGAGTGGGGGGAGCACAGTGAGTGGGGGGAGCACAGTGAGTGGGGGGAGCACAGTGAGTGAGTGGGGGGGCGCGCACAGTGAGTGAGTGGGGGGGCGCGCACAGTGAGTGAGTGGGGGGGCGCGCAGTGAGTGAGTGGGAGGCGTGCACAGTGAGTGAGTGGGGGGCACACAGTGAGTGAGTGGGGGGAGCACAGTGAGTGAGTGGGGGAGCACAGTGAGTGGGGGAGCACAGTGAGTGAGTGGGGGGAGCACAGTGAGTGGGGGAGCACAGTGAGTGGGGGAGCACAGTGAGTGGGGGAGCACAGTGAGTGGGGGAGCACAGTGAGTGGGGGAGCACAGTGAGTGGGGGAGCACAGTGAGTGGGGGAGCACAGTGAGTGGGGGGAGCACCACGGTGAGCATCGTGGGTCGGGGAAAGATCGTGTCTCACTCACTTTGAAAAGAGGATGTTGTAATAGCGAAGCCATTCTGGGTGATTGGGGTGGAGCTCACTGGACAGCCGGATCCTGATTCTCACTTTGCCATCACTTTTAGTCTGGCTGACAAGTTCCATTTCCTAAGATTTCAAACAGAACAAGGTGTGAGAGATGCTGGGGAGACAGCTCAGTCAGTAAATTACTTGCTGAGCAAGCATGAGGACCTGAATTCAGTTCCCAGTTCTGGCCTCATATGTATACACACCTGTACACATATAAGAACACACCCACACACTTTAAAGCAAACAAAAAATTGAAGTAGTCAAGAAAACTAGGTCCCACTGAATGACAGAAAACATGCCACTCGATTCCCCACACCAAGGTGGGGTTTCTTCTCACGCTCAGAAATCACAATCTACAGATGTGAGCACCACAATATTATCCTTAAACTATCTTTTTACTTAAGCTTCGGAAAGGAATTGGTTTGACCAAGCAATATAAATTTTAGCTGGAAGAAAACTGAAAAAATATGTATATATAAAAACAAAGGTTTATGTGTGTATGTGCATTTGTATGTTTTTAAGAGAGAGAGAATGCCGAAGGCCAATGGTTCTGTGTCTTCCTCAATCGATATCTACCTGGAGTTTGAAGCAAGGTCTTACTGGACTTGGAGGTCACCAATTTAAGTAGACTAGACGTTACAGCCAGCCCCAGGGATCCTCTGTCTCTGCCTCCCCTGCTCTAGGATCACAGGCATACACAGGATCCACTCATCTTTTCATGCAGGGGCTGGGGATCCAAACCTGCACACCAGCACTCTGCTGGCTAAGTCACCTCCCTGGCACCTCTATCACCGGTTTGGGCTGCATTGTGCTTAAATCTCATTTAACCTCTACTTAGGCACTAAAATGAGGAACTTCAAAACCCATGACATTCAAACTTGGGTGTCAGGCTGTGTGTGTGTGTGTGTGTGTGTGTGTGTGTGAGAGAGAGAGAGAGAGAGAGAGAGAGAGAGAGAGAGAGAGAGAGAGAGAGAGAGAGAGCAGCCCCACAATTGAGGTCCTGGTTACTATTGTTCAGAAGATTCTTAGAAAACTGTTGCAAACATTACTTAACCGAATGTTGTAGCCTCCGAGGTAAGAGCAATGAGTTTCCATCGAATATGTGGCAGTTGCCAAGTATAGACTTATGTCTGAGCAGTAAATCTGTGCGGATAGTCATATCCTTTATGTCAGGTTGGTAATCAATATTGTACTTATATGCGATTTCATGGCCACAGGTTACTTGGTAATGGTTTGTCTGTAGTTTAATCACTTCGCCTCCCGTCCCTAGAAAGCAAGGCACATTACTTTAGACCAGTGGTCCTCAATTTGGGGGTCAAAGAACCCTTTCACAGAGGTTGCCTAAGACTATCAGAAAACAAAGGTATTAACATTAACATATTCATAACACAAATATTAACATTAACATATTCATAACAGTAGCAAAATTAGTCATAAAGTAGAATGAGATAGTTTTATGGTTAGGGTCACCACAACATGAGGAATTTACTAATGAGGGTCGCAGCATTACGAAAGCTGAGAACCACTGCTTTAGACACTGTAAGTGGGAAGAAAAAAGCGCACAACCCATCCAGACCCCTACACCAGACCATCACATCTGAAAGTGACGCTGTCACACAATTCGTGGGGAATCTGTTACCTGTTGTTCATGGTGACTGCTCGAAGCTGTAGGGAATCTTTTAAATACATATTATCATTTCTTCTGCATGTGTGGTGTGTGCTTGTCTGGGCGTGTAAGTGCAGTCACACAAATGCCACAGGAAGGGCAAAGGACAGCTGTGAGCATTGGACCTGACACCTGTTTGAAGCAGCGTCTCTGTTGTCTCCACTGTGTGTGCCCTGCTAGCTGGTCTGGGAGCTTTAGGGGCTTCCCCTGTCTCCACTTTCCAAATCTTGCTATAGGAGGACTGGGAGACTGGGATCACACACACACACAAACACACACACAAACACACACATCTGCATACTACTTTATGTGGGTTCCAGGGATTTGAACTCATACATGCACAGAAAGCATATTTCCCATCCTGAGCCTCCTCTCCAGATGTTTGTAACACTACTTAGCTTTACATTTCAACTTAAAATAAAAATAGTTTTATAGAATTCCTTTCGAGGTCAGTATACCTGTCTTTGAATCTTTAACATGCTTCATGTCCTTCCTGGTATTCACCACAATGTCTTGGAAGATTCCACCACAAGGCCTCTGAGTCAGCCCCTTTGTTATGGCTGTGGCGTGGTGTTCTGCACAGGAACAAATACACACAACAAACAGGGGGAATAAGGGGTTTGAAGAGAGCCTGGTGCCTGGACCACACACTGCTCACTGCTCCTACAGGAGACCAGGTATGGTTCCTAGCATTTCTGTTGGACAGCTAGCAACCACCTAGAACTCCAGCTTCAGGAAGTTGATGCACTCTTCTGGCCTCCTTGGGCACCTGCACACACATGCACATACCCCCACACAGACATATTCTTAAAAATAAAAAAAGTTAAATCTTTTAAAAATACAACAGATTATTTTAAGCCTCAGCTAGTAACAAGACAGTCAAGAGTGTGAAAGATGGAGAAGCTTGCCAAAATCTCTGCCAACAACTCCTCAACTTGCACAGTGGCACCCTGGAAAGTTGGTTCCTGCTCTCAAATTCATCACTCATTCACTATGGGATGCGTAAGCCAGCAGCCTAGGCAGTACATGCCCTCTTATGGGCACCAGAATGCACCAACCAAAGGTTTAAACTCAGGCTTTCCATATCCATATGCAGGTGCACACAAGAGCGGGAGACGGCTCAGCTGGTAAAGGGTCCTTATGTTTGCATGGCAGATGCGAGTTCAGCTCTGCAGCACCTCTGTAAAGAGCCGTGTATACAGAGACACATGCCTATATATTCCTGGCACTGTGGAGACGGACACAGAAGGACCCTAGGCGCTTTCTAGCTAGCCAGTCTGGCAGAGAGGGCAAGCTCTGGGGTTAGTGAAAGACCTTGCTGGAAAAAAAAAAAAAACCCTGGAAAGCAGCCAACATCAGCCTCTGGCCTCCATGTGCCCCCATCATACAGAAAGTACAAAGAAAAGTACATTAAATACAAATAAAAGGTGGGGTGCATCTCAAGATGTTTGACCGTGGCAATTAAAGTGGGAACCTGTCTGGAGGCCGACTGTGAACCACACCCTTGGCAAGGGAGAGCAGCCAAACTCTCCAGCACCCTCCGCTTGCACCCCTGTCCCAAAGATGCTCCCAGGAAGAACACTGGGATGGTTGGCTGTTCAAGCTTTCCCATGCAGCAGCTTAGGAGATTCTCTGTCTGCCAAGGGCGTTTTTACATGCTAACTTTACTGAAGTTGCAAGATGGCAACGCTGACCAGCCTGTCAGATAACAACAGCCAATTCTATTTTCTCGGCTTTTAAACTGAAGACAACAACTCACTCCAGGAAGCCAGGTGGCCACGCCACATCCCGTCAGTCATTGTGGACCTATTGAGGACAGCTGTCCAGAAACATACCTTTGTGGCTGCCTCCATCCATGAGACACCTCTGTCTCTTTCATCACCCCCCACCATTCTCTCTCTCACCTGGAAGTAGAATTTGGCCTTCTGCTCCTCTAGATTCCTCTGATGCAACTGCTTGGCTTTCCCTCTGTGACTGAGGTGATGGTGTGTGGGACTGCGGTAGCTGAGCTGCAGGCAGGGGTGGCTGGATGTGGGGCTGTGGTGACTGGGTTCTGGCCTGTGGTGAGTTGGTCTTGGATTTCACTAATTGGGCCCAAGTCTGAGATGGCTGAGCCCGGGGCTCTGGTGGCAAGGCTCCAGGCAGGGATGACTGGACAGGGAGCTGCCGCAGGTTCTGGGCTGTGGGCTGTAAGGGCCTGGCACAAGCCTGTGGTGGCCCGGCTCTGGGTGGCCGTAGCTGGGCTCCCAGCTGTGGTGACCAGCCTCTGGATGGCTGTGACCAGCCTCTGGGTGGCCGTAGCTGGGTTCGCGGCTGCGGTGACCAGCCTCTGGGTGGCCGTAGCTGGGTTCGCGGCTGCGGTGACCAGCCTCTGGGTGGCCGTAGCTGGGTTCCCAGCTGTGGTGACCAGCCTCTGGGTGACTGTTGCTGGGTTCCTGGCTGTGGTGGCTGGACTCCCAGTTGCTGTGACTCTCTCCATTGTGAGGTGGCCTGCATGTGTGTGGAAACAGAGATGAAGAGCAGGGTTCCCTGCATTCATTTCTCATGCAAAAGCTATAATCAAGTCCTAGCTTCCAAGACACTTGCATTCTGCTAACGGGCAAATCTTTAAAGTAACCCAGGGGACTGGTATGATGACAACTAACCACCATATCAGTGCCTGGGTCCAAACAAGAACAACCCAATTTCAAAGTCGGCCTGGCCTACAAAGCGAGACCCTCCCTCAAAAAAATAGACGCAGAGAGGCGGCAGGCATAACTGGGAAGTTATGCAAAGGAAACAACAGTAAAATAAAGGCTCTAGAAGGAATCTGAAGACACTAGTCAGAGCAAGCAGATGACAGGATTTCTGTGCTCGAGGTGGCAGTGGCATGTTGAAGAAGTAGGGAGGCAAAGTGTCCGTGGACATCTCTGGGGTGCGGTCAGGATGGAGTCTGCCTGGTGGCATGCCCACAAGCGTGAGTCCACACACAAGACAGCATGGAAAGCCACTGTGCTGGTTGGGACCACCATTAGAGAATTCCAGGGCAGGGGGAGAAGAGGCCTGGTGCAAAGAAAGCCTAGGGAAAGACAGGGTGGCTAGTGGGCGCGGCAGCGAGAGAAGAAAGTGATCCGCCTCCATCTTGCCACAACAAAAGGGCAAATTCGAGGCCAGAAAAGCAAGCAGTCTGTGTATTTGGAGAGGAGGAGGTGCTGGGAGTTGGATGAGGCAGGTTCTCTGGAGCCTGTGGGAACAGAGCCCAGCTGACAGCCCTGCCGCAGCACTCAGACTCCTGAGAGGAACCTCATAATGCACAGATGTGGGCAGTTCTGCTTAGTGAAACCGGCTGGGGGCCGAGGGAGCCCCGAAGCAGGTGTGCCTGACCTGAGGGGCTGCTGAAGAAGCCATGGGTGTAGGGGATCTTTGCTTTAGGATGGCTGGCCTAGGTTGCCAAGGAGACCCTGCCTGCCGACCTGCCTCTGCGTCACAAATTTAGAAATAAAAGAAGGCGACAGGACTTACATAGGCAAGGTGATTACCCTCTCCACCCAGGGTCTCCCTAGGGGTGGATCCCAGGTGCGCTGTTGAGGGAGATTAAGGGGGCAGATGGGGAGCATTTGATACGGGCTTCAGAGTTACCTCTGAGCTACAAGTCTGTTAGAGACTGAGAATGGTTCTAGAAAGGGGGTTAGGGGCAGGAAAAGAGATAAAGGGGATCAGACAGCAAAGGCTAGGCGGACATAGCATAGAAGAGCAGGTCACACCTTGTGTCACGAGTCACAAGTGAGAAAGACAGGCTCTGCCTCCACTAAGAACCTTGGCTGAAGTCAGGGCACTTAAAAACAAAAACACTACACCACAGTCCTCAACCTGTGGGTCACAACCTCTTTCCAGGGGTCATCTGAGACATCTGGGGAGTCAGACATTTACGTTATGTTTCATAACAGTAGCAAAATTACAGTTATGGAGTAGCAATGGAAAAAGGTGTTTTGGATGGGGGGTGTCGCCACAACATGAGGAACTGTATTAAAGGGGTACAACACTAGGAAGGCTGAGAACCACTGCCCTACAGGGACTCCAGGCTGGAAACACAAACGTTCGAGAGTCAGAGACAGCCTTCCCACCCATCCTGACCACCTGGCGATGGTTCCTGGGTCTCCCACACCCAGGCCCACAGTTTTGTTTGGAAAGAAATATGGAACTTTACAGGGATGTCAGCAGCTGCTTCTGGCGCCTCGGGCTGTGAGATGTCCAGGGCTTGGCTTCTGCCTCGGCTTAAAGTCCTGGACCGGCCCGACATGGCAAGGATGATCGGCAAAGGCCCTTGAAGATGGAGGGTCTCTCAGAGACCTCTGTGAAATTGCTGGGGAACTTTCTTTAAAAACAAAGTACAATGTCAAATAGCTACTTTCTTGTCATCCCCCAAAGACTCCCCTTGATTTCACAGATAAGCCTGGGAAAGGCTGTGGAGCACCCTAGAAACTGAGGGAAGTTTGTTGAACACGGGTCACAGCCCCCAAACAGACTCATGAGAGAGCGGCTGTTGGGACGCTCCTTCTGAGGCACAGGTGAGTGCCTGTTCTCAGCAGGCAGGCAAAGCCAGCTCCCAGGGGCCAGTAACAGCCCCTCAGATGTCCCAAGTGGGTCCCCTACCTGCTCATATTTACCTCCGCTCTTTTAGGCCTGTCTCCCAAACTTGCCTCCTCCACAGAGACAGAACTTTATGAGACACAGCGGCTCAGAACCAGTTCCTGCAACCTCTGTCCAGTGGCAACAGAAGCCTCCTCTCCAGGGTGTTCTGTGCCAGGCCAAAGTCACCAAAGGATGTGAAAGAAAGGCACAGACCCAGCCTCCTGAAAAAGGTGCAATTGCCAAGCCAGACCGAGCTGCAAAGGCCTCTGACCTCAATTTCAAGGCTACAGTGGGCATCTGGTCCCACCCTCATCCTTGTCCAGATGAAACTAAACTTAACCTGCACCTGGGCGGCTCAGGGGCTGGGTGGGGGGCAGGGTGGGGGTGAGGTGGCCTGCCCTCTTTGAGCCTGTAAACAGCCCTTAGTCCTTAGGAACTACAGTAAATCCTGCAATTGAGCAGCTGCTGCATCCTTGGATTCAACCCGGGTCACACCTGGGGTCACTTATGCAGCGGATATCTGCAAGTAGATGCCCCTTCACTGGGGAGTTGGGGGCATTTTTGAGTCATTAAAAAAAATATATGGACCAGGCAGTGATGGCGCACGCCTTTAATCCCAGCACTGGGGAGGCAGAGCCAGGTGAAACTCTGTGAGTTCGAGACCAGCCTGGTCTACAGAGCTAATGCCAGGACAGTCAGGGCTGTTACTCAGAGAAACCCTGTCTCGAAAGACAAACAAAAAAATTAAAATAAAATTAATAATAATAATAGCAGTAGTGGTGGTGGCCTTTTCCCATCACTGGTCTTGGACTCTGGCCTAGTTTTAGAGAGGTGTTTTGGGGTTTTATCAGTGTTCAAATTCTTGATACCCATTTAATTAAGAGAGATACAGTTACCTGAGAGTTTTTTAAACTTTGGTAAGGCAATATTTTTTTGCCAAAGCATAATATGTGTTCATCTTTATTTATGTGTAAGTTGGGGCACATGTGTGCCAGGACAGGTGTGTGGTGAACCTGGGGAAGGGGTTCTCTCCCTTCACCGTATGGACTCTGGAGATCCACCTCAGGCTGTCGGATAGCATTTAGCACCATGCCCATGTTGTTAAGGGAACTACAGTGATTCAGTGTAGGTACATAGTGAGAGAACTCAGACACATGAAGACAGCTTTAGCCACCAATCGCTGTGTGTGGGAGGTACCGTGAGGGGGTGTGCACGCACACGCATGTACACTGAAAGCCAGAGCTCAAGGCCAACTATCTTCTTTACAGTTCCTCACACTATTTCGGGGGGCAGAGTGCTCAGTGAACCTGGAGCTTGCCTCGTTGGCCATGCTGCCTGACCACTGAGAACCAGGGCGCCTCCTGTCCCTGATCCCCAGCACCGGAACTACAGATGCACCCAGCTATCTCCATACCTGGACTGGGGGTCCAGACTCAGGTCCCGAGACTTGTGCAGCAGCCCTTTTCCAAATGAGCCACCTCCCCAGCCTGACCACGATCTATTCCTGTATATTGGGAATTTCATGTTTTCTACTTTTTTGAATTGTGTCTTTTAAAATTCCTATGAGCTTAACTTTTTAAAATGTACTTTTTGGTTTATTATTTGAGAATTTCATACATGCATAAAATATTTCTTGATCAAACGCACATCCCTCACTCTCTGACCTCCACTCTTCCTCCCAATTACAAGTACCCTTTTAAAGCCCGCTGGGTCCACTCCTGCTACCAGTATGAGCGTGGTTGTAGGGCCATCCACGGGCAGCTAGTCAGGGCCTGCATCTCTAAAGGAAGCTTGCAGCCCACCCCAGCAGCCATCAGTCTCCAGTATCTCCTCACCCCAGAGTGTGTCTTCCTGCCTTCCTTCCCTAACCTGGAAAGCACCCCATAGTGTTACCCTGTAGTTCCAACCGCTGGAAGGAGCAGCTCACATCTGTGTGGAGCCCTTGTTGAGCTTCTCATCCCCTGTATTCATCATGCCTGCTCTGCATCCTCAGTAGGTACCCACCTCCACAAGGACCTGGGTAGTCTACAATAGGTCTTCATTAAAACGTCGGGGATGCTGTACAATTTGCTACCCACTATTACCCCAGGCCATGGAATCAGTTCATCCCTATGAGTTCAAGACCAGCTTGTTCTACATAGTGAGTTCCAGGATGGCCAGGGCTACAACAGAAAAAAGTCTGTCTCAA